GTCTTTTGTTGAGGACTGTTAATGCAGGTAGAATCCAGAATGTTTGACACAAGTGCGAGCTGAGTTTGTGGATACAGATGCTGGGAGCGGTGTCGGGTGTCACAGAACCACCTCTGGATCCTCTCGAATCCTCGCACTTTGTAGTGACCTTCTGCTTCTTTGAGCTGTGTTGCTTTTCATCCTTCAGTAACAGTGTGTGGTGCTTGGATGTGACGTCAAGGCTGAGAGTTCCCAGCATCGGCTCCTGTCATCAGAGGAAGAATTGAATCAAGTGATCCGGATGTGATATGAATAACAAAACATGTTTTTTGGTTTGCAAGAGGTCAGTAACCACCGACTGAGAGCAGAGTCTCCCAGGATCCATTTCTTCTGTTCTGATGAAGAGTGACTTGTCCAACAGTAGATCTCATAAACTTCGTGATGAACCTGGACCTGCAGACTCACTAGTAAGAGACTGTTTCTACTGTAAACTGAGGCTGAAGTGATTCAGTTTTAGACACGTGAAGGAAACAGGGAGAACACCAGGAGGCCTAGATTTCATAAACTCTGTGTTTGGTGCACAACAAAAACTCCGAGACACGAAACAATGCAGCACGCACAGTCCTTTGCATCAGATTTATAAGAGCAGAGCGTCTTCATGTTAACTGAATTTTCATGAACTGCAGGTCAGTGTGAAGGTGGCTGCATGAACATACGAGCCTGATTTCATGTCAACAGGCTCTGTGTGCTCTCACCGAGTCTGTAGACGCCTGTTGTCAATCAACAGAAAGGACAGAGGAGAAACACTAGTGTCTCCATGTTGGAGGTGACACTTTATCATTCAGTGTCTCCCCCCTCTGGCAGTGAGAGTAATCACAGGTCAACCACTATCAACCAGCTCAACGATGATGAGTCATTATTCAGGTGAAGTTAAATGGTCAGTAGTTAAATAGCCTATCTCAAGTATTTTCACATCAGTCCCCTCCTTCTGTCAGCGCTCTCGTGGCAACAGGAAAAGCACCGCAAGTTTCCTCTGTTTCCTCTGAGAGTTTCTTTTTATCTGGAGAATCAGGACTTTTTCTTGGACGCTTGTACAATGATGGGTTACTCTCTATTGTTTCCTCGCCTGCTCCTAGCTATCCCTGAAAAATCAGTCTTTCCCTTATTGACCTCTAAATGCATCAGTAACCAGGTGCGGCAGTAAGGAAAGTCAGCCACAGACAGCAAAAGATTTAAAAGGCAGCTATTACTGCAGAAATACAGAGATGGACCTGGAGCCTGAGAGGTTATATGCAGCTCTGTGAGAACTCATTTAAGCAAGGTTTGGATTTCAGCACACGTTTCTTTAATATGTAAAAGTCCTGCACTCCAGCTTTAAAGTGCGCAGATACAAAGAGCTGATAGGACTGCAATAGCAGAAAATCAAGATTAAATTCATGATCAGCTTCCTGAAAGATTCACAAAAACGTCAAATAATTCATCAACACAGAAATATCTAAAAGTGTTTTTAATTGGATTTTAAATATTTGTTAGAAAATATATTTTCATAACAGCTTAACAAGATATGAATACACATAATGGTTATAGACCTAAAATAAGAGGCAGTTTTTATATTCAGAATTTTAATTTGACTTGATGAATGAAACTTTAGGACTAGAACAGATCGGTTCATGTTAGTTTGAATGCCCCGGCCTCTTTGAGGTTGGCGACCAATGCAGACAGAGATGTTGACGCTGTGACTGTGACATGTTAGTGGATAAAGAAGATTGTCTTTCACAGAGAGAAGAGGAGTGGAGTCTCTGTGGAGGTAGCAGCAGGTTTTTAGATCAACATACAGATCAGTCTTGAGGAGCAGATGTGAACATGTGACTGAAGGAACTGATGGAACAGGAATGGTA